CCACACCACTACTGAAAATCTTTTTTAAGATACACGTGTTAAGCAATAAGCATATGTGTGTATATCTTAAAAAATACTAAACGATTTACGACTATTTGATGAGATTTTACAGTCATTTTAATATTATATTATATAATATATTATTATTAGTATTATTATTATTATTAATATTATCTTAACGAGACATTTTAAATCTTAATTTTCGTGCCTGTGAATATTTGAATATCAATTATATTATTTATTTAGCATTTTAATTCGTGGTTGGTAATCAATTAACACGTTACGTGAATAAAGTTGAAATGTCAATGATAAAAATTAAATCTTGGAGAAGAACCGGTGAATTATTAATTTACACGTAAAAAAAATAAAAAAAAAATAAACAACACATAATTATTAAATAATCTATCACTTCTTTCTTATCATTTATATTTTATTACTTTTTTTTTTTCAATCTGTTCTTACTGAAAAGATATTGAATTCTTTGACTTTTGTTTTTCCAAATACCTAAATCAAAAAAGTAACGAAGGAAGATGACACCCAAAAAAAAAAGAAAAAGAAAAAAACCGATCCATTAAGAGCAAATGTACTTCATAGAAAGATGACGAGTAAAAAAGATAAAGTCGGTTGTCGATAAAGATTATCTTTTACAAAGCTACCCATCAACTGCTTACTTACTTGTTTTACTTGCTTTACTTGCTTGCTTGCTTGCTTGCTTGCTCACTCGTCCATGATTTGATAATCTTCTTCGAAAATAGAACGTGTCTTTAATCACTTTAAGAAAAAGAAAGATCGACTAACCGCGTTCTAGAGGTCTAATAACATCTTTTTAGAATTTATTTATACATCCTTTCTCTCTCTATCTTTCTCTCACACACACACACACACACACACAGATATACATACACGCTCTTTGCTTTATGTTGAATTTCCTTTTATCAAGGTAGAGAAAAAGAAAAGCAAAAAGAAGTTGCACTTTCTAACGGATATCCGAACGCAATATCGTGGTTGAGCGTTGTACCACCTCTAACCGATAGATAAGGGCTAGATGAATTCACTCGATCGATAATAAAATTTGTCGGTGCAGAAATGGCCAATGTCATGTATAACCTAATTTCAACGAGGCGAAGAGATTAGCCCTGTTATTAACGATCTGACCATGTAATATCGCTAATATCGCTAATATCGATTACTTATGTACAACTAAATCATTTATTTTTCATCAATACATAAACAATATATATCTTAGAACACGTTGAAAACGTTTTAAGATTATTAGAAAAATCTTCTTAACATTTAAACGTATTCTAAATCGATTACAAATATGTCCCAAAACTTGCTTTGATCGAAATGAAAAATGAAATAGGTTCAAATCCTTTTCTTTTTTTATTTCCATCAATTATTTCAAATGGTAATATAATCGTAAAATACTAACTGAATATTTTAACATTTTTCGAAATTATCCAAGTAAACTACTACTCTATTAATTAATGATGATTGAATTTTTTTTTTTGTTTTTTGTGAATTCTGTTAGAAAAATGAATTTTCAATATTACGAATTAAGTCATTAAGGTCATTAAATATAAAATGTCTGATTTCAAGATGAAAAATAATTCGAGTATAGAGATCATTAATCTGTCAATTAATTACAAACAAATGTTGATATTATTTCGATACCCTTTTTATTTCCCCCGCTTTTCTTTTATTTGTAAGAATTTGAAAATTAACCCCTTATCCAACGTGTGATGATTTGTAAAAATGCTGTTATATATAAGTAATTCGTATTTATATTGAAAAGGCATAAAAATGTATTCATCTTCGTTCATAAATTGAATAAAACAAAACAAGTAATTTTAGTTAAATTCAATTGACATTTAAAATCTCATAATTACTAATATGATACATATTTTTGTTTATTTGTTTTTATAAATATTCACACGATGGGTTTAATGTTAAATCATTGATTTGTTCGAAAAGTAATGATCATTTTGACCTGAAATAATTTCATGCATTACTTGATGCAAACTGACAAATCAAATCACGTGAGATTGATGAAAGATGAAAATTAATCAAAAATTTCACTGTATTACGCGACCACTTGAAAAACCTAGGTTTCATTTTAAAAAAAGAAATTATCTTCATTTTCATACACACACATAAAAAATGGAATTACTTTCCGAAAAAATCAATAAAACAACTTTTGGGGACAATAATATTGTACGATAAGATATGACAATTAAAAACAAAAAATGACTTACCATGACAGGTGCACGAAACAGCGTTTCTGCTACGTTACTGCTATGCGAGTGTGTGTGTAGACGATAATGCCTATCCTGGGTTCCTCTAACAGGACCGACATTTCCCTGCTCTGTTTGTATAGACATTGCAAGGCGTTGTTGTCTGTCCCTCTCACGGAGCCTTTCTCGGTCCAGGCTGTAAACAAAAAAAAAAGATAAAATTTCATCTCCGTTTAATACTCGTCCTTCGAATTACATTAAACAAATCATTTTATTATTTATTTCATCATCGACCATCCTATATATAAAAAAAAAACAAAGTGGTGAATGAAACGAGTAACTCATTTGAAGTACCCCTCCCCCACATATCCCACACCATGCATCTCCCCCCCCCG